TTATAAAATAGTTCCAGACGTTTCTCTTGGGAAAGGAAGGAGGCCCATTCCTAGCATATGCCCAGAGAACTAAAAACATGTCACACAAAAACTCATACACGAATGTTCATAACAGCACTGTTTACAATGGCCAAACAGTGCAAACAATTGTCCGTCAAATGATGCATGGGTAAGCATGCTGAGTGAAAGAAGCCAGACATAGAGGCCAGGTATTCTATGATTTCATTTATGTGCAATGTCCAGAATAGGCAGAGCCAGAAAGGGATTAGTGGTTGCCAGAGGCTGGGGGGGGGGGGGGGGGGGGGGGGGGACTGCCGATGGTGGTGTGGGGTTTCCTCTGAGGCTGATGTTCTCAGCATGATTATGTGATGAATGCATAACTCTACGAATAGACTAAACACCACTGAATTGTGCGCTTTAACTGGGTGAATTGTACGGTACATAAATTATATCTCTGTTAAATCATTACATACAAAATGAAAAGAAAAAGAAGACATACAATTTAAAATCAGAGAGTCTTAGCACTAGGAGAAACCTTAAAGGTTATCTCATACAAATACGTGCGTATGAGACTGCAAAGTGTTTGAGTTTTTTTGGACAATTTCCTCTCCCTTTTATGCCAGTTGCCTGTTGCCAGACTCTGGGCTGCTGCAGAAATATTAAGGAACTCAGCAGTTGCCTTTGCAGCCTTTTATTTTATAGCCACACGGAGATTTGATCACCTCAGACTTCCATGGCTGTTTGTTTCTCTTGCCCATCCGGTGACGCAGAATGTAAAGCTACAAGTTCACAGAGCAAAACCCCACACAAAGTCCAACTCCATGAGGACATCATCAGCTAATGTTAAGGTTCTGGCTATACGTCCATTAACACGACAGGGACGGTGGGCCTACACCCCCCCACCACCATCACTTCCGGCTTCTCCCTGTCCTTTCTCCACATCCCCCACTCCTCCCAGCTGCCTTGAAGGGGTGATCTGTCAGCCCCAGTGACAATCATGGGCACCCTCTTTTTGGACAAAGGACTTGGAGGCTCAGTTCATAGCACATGGCTGTCAAGGCGAATCTTTTTTTTAAGTTGTAGCCAACATGTAAGTATTCTGCGGCCCTCTCCTTCCCTTCTTTCTAGTCATCTGCTGCATTTTATTCAGCCAGCTTCACTCCCTCACCAGCTGATAAGAATGTGTCTAGACAAGTCACATTAGCTTGGGGGCCTTTCTGGAAAGGTCTGGAAGCCCAGGGCAAGCCCAGGAACCGGAAACACACTGCTGAACGTCACCCCCTGGCGGCGGTGGCCCTCCGTGACCATCCGAGTCGCGGGTCTTTGCGCAGCCACACTGCACCTGCCTGATTGGAGCACAGCCCTCTCCTCAGGTTCAGAGACCCTGTGGCCTCTCTGCCATACCCAGCACCGAGCATAATGCCTTATGCCGCCAGGTGTCCTGGAGATGTTTCTGGAACTTTGATCTCAAGCCTGCGCATGACTTCTGTTTCCTCGCCATGTGTTTCTCTCTTGGCCTGTTGGCATCCTGCAGGCCTTGCCACAGTTGTACCAAAACTACTGAGTCAGGTCCAAAGCTGAAGGAGTCCTAGACCCGTGGTCGGCAAACTGCGGCTCACGAGCCACATGCGGCTCTTTGGCCCCTTGAGTGTGTCTCTTCCACAAAATACCACGGCCTGGGCGAGTCTATTTTGAAGAAGTGGCGTTAGAAGTTTAAGTTTAAAAAATTTGACTCTCAAAAGAAATTTCAGTCGTTGTACTGTTGATATTTGGCTCTATTGACTAATGAGTTTGCCAACCACTGCTCTAGACCCTCCCCCACCACCACCACCAGCACATCACACTGTTGGGCACCACAGCCTTGACCATCTTGAGTCTGAGCTTGCCCTTCCTGATGTCAACCCCGTCCTGCTTGTTTTGTCTTTCCAGCCAGCCTTTCTTTGCGTCCTTCCATCCCTTACCCCTCACACGTGCTCCCCTCCCCATCCACCAAGCACTGATGAGTCTCAGGCAGCCTCTGCCTGGAAGAAGTTACACACACACACCCATACATACCCCACGGCCCCTCCCCTCATTCCCCCCACATGGAGCCAAGGAGAAAAGAGAACCTCTGCAGTCAGGTTTCCCCAGCTCAGATCTGAGCCTAGGCACTCAACTACCAGTGTCCATGTCCAAACCGTACATATTGTTGTATGACTCCTCTTAGACACCTTTCTTACGTTTTACGCTAAAATGTTCCCAGAGAAATATGTCATTGTCCATGGGACTATAGCAAACTCTCTTCTAAAGACATTTGCTTTCAATCTAAACTTCTTCCCTAAAAGAGGGGCTCCTCTCTCCATTGTACCTCTCAGCACATAAAGCAAAAACTGATTTGGAGTGACTAAGAAGACCAAGAATAATACCGTAAAGTGTTATGTAATTCAAGCTTGATGTTCCAAGGAGAATTGTGTCAGATAACTTGACAGAGCCTTGTCTGGAAGCAAAGGCTAAAGTCGTGATTCTTTGAGTCCCTGATGAAAATGCCTAATTATTTGTTTCTGTTCCCACACAAGTCAGTTTCTCCGGGGAATGTCTTCGGCATGCTCCAAGGTACATTTTCCTCGGAGAATTAGGCTTTTACAGCAAGAATCTGAGGTGTAAGAGTGGGAGTATTGTGGAGGGGAAAAGCAAAAGCTAAGAAATTATTTTTTTTTTAAATAATGCTTAAGGAAAATTATGTTCCCATCACTATAGAGTAGATTTATTTAATCCTCTGCTCTGGGTCCTGGTGGATCCCATTACTAAAACTTAATACTCACCCCAGTTGTTTGGTGAGATTATAATTGAGAAACTACAGATAGACTCTATATATAAATCTTATTGTACCTTTAAGAAATGTGTAAGAGCAACAAAAACCATGAAGCCTTGCCATGGTGGCAGGGAAGGTCCCTTGGCTCCATCCTCCTGCCTTTGAAACTACAGGGAATTCTGATCCTGCGCAGGCCTCGTGGGGCGTGCTTGGGGGAGAGAAGCAGAGAGGCCAGAGCTATGTAGGTAACTATTTCCGCACACAGCTGCACTGAAAGGAATTGAAAGCTACTGGAACTCATAAGTGAAATTAAATAGGTTGCAGGACACAAGATCAAATGCAGAAATCAATAAAATATATTAAAAATAAATAAATAGATAGATATGTCATGTCAATTAATTAGAAAACTCATTTAAGATGGCAATTCTCCCCAAACTGATCTATAAATTTTTTTAAATGGGCAATTTCAATCAAAACACCAGCAGGCTTTTTAAATAGAAATTGACAAGCTAATCTTAAAATATATGTGGAAATTCAAATGACCCTCCGTTCCCTCTCTCATCGAGGTTAGAAGAGTTTAAGACCACTTCTTTATATATATATATATATATAAATATAAATTTTAAAAAAACAATTTTATATATAATTGATTTTTTACAGAGAGGAAGGGAGAGGGACAGGGAGTTAGAAACATCAATGAAAGAAAAACATCGATCAGCTGCCTCTTGCAGACTCCCTACTAGGGATGTGCCTGCAACCAGTATACATGCCCTTGACTGGAATCGAACCTGGGACCCTTCAGTCTGCAAACCGATGCTCTATCCACTGAGCAAAACCTGTTTTGGCAGGACTCTTGTTCTTATAAAAGAATAAAACTCAATGGGGATGTAAAGTACAGCATAGGGAATATAGCCAATAATATTGTAATAACTATAGATGGTGTCAGGTAGGTACTAGACTTAGCACTTAGTAAATTATATAAATATTTAACTACTATGAAATAATATAAAATAATATTGAATGTTAACTGTAATTTAAATTTTTTTAAAAGCAAATGAAACTAACAAGACATACAACCCAATTTTTTAAATGGGTAAAATATTTGAACAGACACTTCAAAAGAAGATATGCAAGTAGCCAACAATTACATGAAAAAATATCCAACCTCATTAAAGAAATGCAAACTGAAATCATAATTAGGTGTCACTACACCTCCAATAGAGTATAATAATTAAAATTAAGAAGACTGATAAAAACCAAGTATTGGTGAGGATGTAGAAAAATTAGAGCTCCTAGACATTGCTCTTGACAATGTAAAATAGAATAGCCACTTTGGAAACCAACTTAGCAGTTTTTTAAAGTTAAACATTCACTGACCATTTTACCCAGTTAATTCCACTTCTGTGTATAAACCCAAGAGAAGTGAAAATAAAAGTTCACACAAAGACTGTTGCACAAATATTCCTAGCGGCATTATTCGTAACAGCCAAAAACTAGAAATAATCCTCCCAGCTGGGTTGGATGTTGACCTATGAACCAAGAGGTCACAGTTCCATTCCCAATCAGGTATCAATCCCCAGTAGGGGGCAGGAGGAGGCTGCTGATCTGTGATTCTCCTCATCATTGATGTTTCTCTCTATCCCTCTTCCTTTCTTTCTGAAATCAATAAATATGCCGGTATATATTTTTAAAGTAGTTTCTAACAAATTAAAAAAACACAACAACAACAACTAGAAATAACCCAAATGTCCATCAACTGGTGAATGAATAAATAATTGCCCCCTAAGCGCTCTGATAGCCCCAACCTTGCCCGCCACTCAACACTTCACTTGCCTTTAGGATGGTGTCTCCTGCTTATACTTTATTAAAGTTATTGAATAACAAGAACTTTAAGACTGTTAGCTATGTGGATATCTGGTTAATGAATGTCACTACCTTTTGACTTGCAATTTTTTTTTCGGAGAACTTCCTGGAGCGACGAGGGTGTTTGACAGGTTAATTTGCATGATGATGACATACATGCATCGGTCTTTCATCACACACAGAATTCAAGATCTGGGCATTTTCCCACGCGTCAGGTAGACTTCCTCAAGGAAAATAATTCATGCGCTCCCTGCAAACTTCGGGGGGCAGTTTCTTTTTACTTTTAACTCTTTAAAGGGTTATAGAACACATGCGTGCTCTCACGTGTAACTTTTTCAAATTGTAGGAGTTCTTCGATCACGTGAAGAAGCTGTGGGATGATGAAGGCGTGAAGGCGTGCTTCGAGAGGTCCAACGAATACCAGCTGATCGACTGCGCACAATAGTAAGTCCGCCCAGCCAGGCTCAGGCTTCTTGAGGCTCGGATTGCACCACAGGGCACTGCCTTCCCGGGGCCACTGGTGTCTCTCTTAAGCTAGGGATAATTAAGTAACGTCTCACTGCAGAAATCAGCTGTCAAAACAAGGCACATGTAGGAGATGGAAAACTGAAAATCCAGTAGGAATCAATGTTTCGGGGAAGAATCAGAAGCGTGTGGCATTATTTTTATCCTGACCTTTGTTTTCAGTTCTGTTCATTTTCACTTCTGTAGGGTCGTAGGTATAATGTGATGAGATATTCGTTATCATAGTTCAGTTTTGTAGCGGGGACCCCAAATTAAAATAATAGCAACACTGCAATCAAGCTCAAGCTCTTACTTAAAAAGTAAAAAGTGATACACCGGAGTAAATTAGGACCTGAGAGTAGATGATGATTACTAATAAGGAAATGTTTGGTGAGAAATGTAATGAAGAGAAACAGAAATAAGGAAAAGACTCTGGTGCCGAGGCTGGCTGACTGCTTTTCCCTGAAATTCCTTGGTATTGTAGATTCATTCTGTAACTATTAGAGAATAATGGTCCCCCAAGAAAATGTTCATCAAGGGGTTCTAGGTATATTTGCTAGTTTGATAACAAAAATTGTGTTTAATTGTTTTATATGACTCTTTGGGCAGCAAGAAATCAGCACTTTCACATTTTTAGTCTGTAAACTGTAAAAATTCATACATGTTGAATGGATTCCATAAGCATAAAATCCGGGAGTTCACAGTATTTGGAACCAACTAGTGGAACTCTGCTGTAAATACAGATTTCAAGGAGAAAGCAGTGGTGTGGCCACTGGCAGCCCTTTCTCATCCTGAGGAGTTCAGGCACCATCACCATGTGGCAAGTGCCAGTGGCAGGGCCCAAAGAGGAGGCACTGGGTGTGACCCAGGCCCTGACCGAAAGCCGGTCTGGGAGCAGATAGGTGATGGAAGAGTGGCTGTAAGCAGGTGAGAGAGGTCGCTGTGGCCAACACCTTCCAAGTGCCAAGGAACTTGGATCTTCTTCCAAATGCAGTGAGTACCCAGCGGCTCCATGAATGAGGTTGTCAGGGTCACTCTGGCTGCCGTATGGAAAATTAACAAAGGGAGGCAGAGACCTGAATGGGGTTCCCTGGGTCAGTTGGTGGCCATCGAGGTGAGCCTTGGGCCTTGGGTGCTGAAGGGAAAGAACGAGGTGGTAGATTGGGTGAGGGCGGCAGAGGAAAGGGGATGGGATAAAGGATGATAATGCAGTGGGGCATGAAGCCATTTATGGAGATGTTGTTTATGGGAGAAAAGAGGAAGGCATCAAGCTCTGATTTGGAGAAGTTAAGTGTGAGACGCCAAAGTGATATCTAAGAAGAGCGTTCAAGTAGACAGCTGGGTGAAGCCTGGGCTCAGAGCGAGACTGGTGATCCGAGCAGGGAAGTCATCAGCCCTCTGGTGGCCAACAAAGCCTTGGCGATGCATGGACACACCGGAGTGAGTTCAGAGAGAGAGGAGTTTCCTGGTCCCTGGAAGATCAGTCCTCAGAAGCTGGTTTCAGGAGGAAGGGCCTGACATCACATCTGAGGAGTGGGTGGAAAGAGCAATGAGGGCCTCTGGGATGAGATGGGGGAAGACTGATGGTGTTAGTTAGATTTACTTAATCTCCTTCTGATCTCGACCAAGAACTGGCTACACCCTCCACTCCCATGTCACCCTCCCAGTCTGCAAGCATTTGCTGAGCAGCAGCTGAACCCTCAGCTCTGCATGGCACAGTAAAACCAACACACAGCGCAGACTGGCTCCCCTCACGCTGACATGAGCAGTGGAAGCTTTAATGAGCCTCCACTGCATAAGCTAAAGAAACTACTTGCTAATTAAAATTTTATTAACTAGAAAAGCATTTTAAATTTCTCATTTCCACCTGGCTGGTGTGGATCAGTGGTTGAGCATCAAACTATGAACCAGGAGGTTACGGTTGGATTCCCAGTGAGGGCATGTGCCCAGGTTGCGGGCTGGGTCCCCAGTAGGGGGTGTGCAGGAAGCAGCCTATGGATGATTTTCTCTTATCACTGATGTTTCTGTCTCCCTCTCCCTCCCCCTCTCTTCCTTGTAATCAATAAAAACATACTTTAAAAACAAAGAGGAGCCCTAACCGGTTTGGCTGAGTGGATAGAGCCTCGGCCTGTGGACTGAAAGGTCCCAGGTTCGATTCCGGTCAAGGGCTTGTACCTTGGTTGCGGGCACATCCCCAGTAGGGGATTTGCAGGAGGCAGCTGATTGATGTTTCTGTCTCATCGATGTTTCTGACTCTCTATCCCTCCCCCTTCCTCTCTGTAAAAAATCAATAAAATATATTTTTTTTTTAAAAGAGGAAGTAGATTAGTGGTTGCCAGGGGTTTGAGGGAGGGAGAGTTGAGAGTGACTGCTAACGGTACAGGGTTTCTTTTAGGGATAATGGAGAATGTTCTGGAATTAGATAATGGTGATGGTGGCACAAACTTGTGAATGTACTTAAGACCACTGAATTGTATACTTCAAAATGGTGATTTTTATGTTCTGTGAAATTGTATTATGTGAGTCATGTCTCCACCTGAAAAAAGAAAGATAACAGGGAAGGAAGAGTCGGAGCAGGAAAAGTAACGGGAGCACTGGTCCAGCCTGGCCAGCAGGGCAGTCTCCTCATGGAGCCAGTGCTCCTCTTGTCATCTACAGATGACAGTCTCCACATGCATTTATAGGGCCTGCTTCCTCACCCTCAGCTGTGCAGCTCTCCACGCCTGCACACGTACACACGGGAGTGGAGCTCCCGCTGATACAGTGCCTGTGCTGTGCAGGTGAAAAGGCCATTGAGACCTGTGTTGTGTATGTGGCACGCAAGGAGTGGAAAGTTGCTCAGGCAACTCGGGAAAAGGGAAATTTGCTCGAAGTCTCTCAGAAGCCGCTAGTAAGTCTGCGGCACTATAGGGAGCGTTTTGATTTCACTTTTCCTGTCTGCTCTTCTCATCCCTTGCTGCTGATCCCAGAGGAAGCAGAGGAGATCAGTTTGGTTAGCAGCCACGCAGCCTGTTCCCGTCCAGCCTTGTGCCCCACCCCATCACACTGCCCCACTGGCCCAGTCAGTGGCCATTGGCATGGCCCAGACCAGAGGCTGTGCTGAGGCCAGGGCAGCTGGACTGCAGTCTCCCTCACCAGGACTGACATGGCTAGAGGCATGTGGAACAGTTACTGTAACTGAGCTCTCAGTATTATTCTTTTGGTAAAAATGGGTGTATTTGAATCATCAAGCAGGCTGTGCAAATGACCAGAGATTATATTTGATACACAGCTCCCCCTTTCCACTGGGAACCTTAAAAACAATCTCTACGGCATTGTCCCCCAAAATGCACTTCCTCTAAGTCCTAACAATAAATGATTGTGTAGCCATGGAAACAGCTATTTTGGGAGAGAGAAAATTGGATCTTAAGAGCAGGTTTATAAAGTCAGACTTTGCTTAATGTAACCTGCCGCTCTGCCGCTGAGAGTGTAGGTTCTTCTGCTTTGACCAAGGTGTTTGCACGCTAAGAGCCTCTCCGGGAGTGTATCCATTTGAATAATTGCTTTTAGAATACTCTCAAAGGCAGAGAATGTCCTAGAAAAAAAGAAAAGAGCAGTGAGAAAGTGATTTTCTGCTCCGTCTCCTGTCTGCGTCTGCAATCTGTCAGGAGTCCTGGCAACTATGTGTAGCCTCTCTCTAGTACTGGCTTGGAGTTCATGGCTCTCAAGTCCTTGAATCTAAGATTTCAGGGCAATCTGGAAATTATTAGCAAAAATTAAATTTGAACTTCAAAGTTGACATTTATTTTTTTCAGGTCATTTTAAAATTAGAGAAACTACCATGTACTGTTGAATTCATTAAATATATAATCAACTGTCTGGGCATGCATACACGTTCTGAACTCTCATTTGACCTTTATTTCTGACCTTTATTTTTAGTTTTATTTTCTCGATCTGTGAAGTTGGAGATGTTCCTGTTTATGGGCAGCGCAGTATACTTTTTATAGGTATAAAGAATAAATTTAGTGGCAGGGCAAACTAGGTAGACCAGATATCTCAGTGTAAGTCGGTCAGCCCCTGGTTATCTGTGTCTCCTAGGCTCGTTTGTAAACCCTCATCCTGGGAAGGAATTACTAAGAGGGTTTGCTTAGCACCAATGTTTCCATGTGAGTAGGAAACCTGGACTTGTCCTCCTGGGTCTCTCTGTTACTTTCCACAACTACCATGCTCACAGCACTCTAACTCCAGATGCGAGGGGAGAGTTTTTCCCCTCCATGCAATCCTCTGTGACACCAGCTGGTTGTCCTGCAATTTAACTCAATTCTGACACCGTCTACGGGAGACGAGGTCAGACCCAGAGGTTATGGGCTGAGTCCCGTGAGGTTGCCCCACTTTCAGAGGCCACTTGCACATAGTAGGTCCCCAGCTTACTCACAGCTTCTGTTCAACGTGGCTACAGATCAGAGGTTCCCTTTGAATTTGATCATTTGCTAGAACAGCTCACAGAACTCAGGAAAACACTTACTTATGTCTGCCAGTTTATTAAAGGTTACAGATGAACAGCCAGAAGAAGAGAGACATAGGGGAGGCCTGGGGATGGGGGGTCTGCAGCCCAGAGAACTGTAGCCCTCGGGTACAATTGTATGTTCACCAACCTGGAAGCTCTCCAAACCCTGTACTGTTGGAATTTTTATGGACTTCGTCATGTCAACATGACCCCTCACTACGTCCATTTCCAGCCTCCTCTCTCTTACCTGGAGACTGGGGGCAGGCCTGGAATCATGGCTTGGTCTTTTCGGTGACCGGCCCTGGATGGCTCCAGGAGCCCACTCAGAGTCACCTGATCAGAACAAACAAGACCTCCATTATTCAGGACATTCCTAAGGATTTAGGAGCTCTGCGTCAGGAACTGCCGTCAGAGACCAAACAGTAGATCAAAAGATGCTTCTTGTGCTCTCATG